GTGGTTTGCCTAAAGATCAGAAGGGGGGGGGGGAGAATTGGCTACAAACAAAAAATTAAATAAGGGGATCCTGCTGAGTAGGGATTTTGGTATTTATGTACAACCTCAGGGTAAGAATTTGACCTGGCTGCCATCTTGGAGGAAATTGTGTGAAACTGGAAATCAAAGTCATTTACCATTTTAGACATACCCTGACAAAATTTGTTTGTTGAAATTGGCAAAATATAACATCTTGGGACCCTGGGGATGGAATTTCTGACATATAATGGTACCCAAGGGTTGGACAACTTACTTTGGAAACCTAAAAATGTAGAATTTTCTTGAGGACACACGGTTGTAGGCAAGAAAATACGCTGCTAGCGGAAATTTCAAGCGAGGTGGCTCAAAGGTGGTGAAGGATCGGAAGTGTGTAACCTCAGAAGTGCCTTTTGTGCTTTACCATGCAATTCCCAGCCAAAATCCAGCCAGTGATCACTGATTTTTCATGCAGTTGACTTTGCAGGCAGCCAGCACTTTTAAGTGACAATCCTGAGGTCATCCCCTATCCTACACCAAACCACTGATAGGTGCAAAACAAACCCAGCTTGAAAAGCACACCCTGTTATCATTGTCAAACTCCATAGTTCCCAAGGTATCCTCATCAATTGGGTTTTACAATAATTTTTCTTCCCCAGATGCTTACTGCATAACTAAGGCAATCCAGGTCATCCCTGTCATTTTGTAGCCATTCATAGAACTCCTGAGCATTATCTGTAGGATCTCCTTCACCATATGTAGCCACAACAAATATTGCCATCGAATTCTCTATTTCTCCCATGCGAGCAAGTTCCTCCTACAGAAATGAACATATCATTTATTAAGAACTCCTCATTCAAATTATCAGGTAGTGTGTCATATTTTTTTACCCTTTAACTCACAGTAGTGATGTACCCTCTCCAAATAATTTCCATTTATTATCTAACTACACTCCATAGAGTACAAATAACACCCAAGACGAGTACAAGTATCATGTGGTACTCATACTCCATAGAACTGGTTAGACAGGTTTTCTTGCATCGAGCAAGCGACAAATGTTGGATTGAAGTTCCAGAAAAAATGGCCGACAATTTAAATCATTTTTCTGATGACAAAGAGTCGGAATGGCTAGTGAATATTGATCTAAGTTTATTACAATGAAATTTAATCATTTATTGAAGAAGATAGAAACAGCAGTGCGCCAATTCCATTCTGCTTTGCAATTACTTCTGTCACGCACTCCTGTTCAATAAATATCTGTGAAATTTGCCTGCACTAAACTAACAATTTGGTGCGTTGGATAATAAATAACTTATTAGACATTTTGTTGTGTAGTATCACTGATTATTACACGACTCGGGCAGTCAGCGGGCTGATAACTAAAATCAACCAATCAAAATGCTCTATTGCCGGTCCAATATTCTCTAAGTATTGGACCAGGCACTGTCCCGAATAGTCCCGAATGATACCGCACTTGTGTCCCTTTGAACTTCAGTCGTATAATAAATCTCTTATTAACCAAGCTTGCTTGGGACCGTACAGGAAGAATATCGGCCCTCGGTCTTTTTTGTACGGACCGAGCGCAGCGCTCGGTCCGTACTGTCAAGACCTCGGGCCAATATTCTCCCAGTACGGCCATTGTGCTTGGTAAATAAGATATATGTATTTTTACGCATTATTTGTATTTTGACTTGCCCTACAGGCTCATCAAAATACACCACAATTTGTACAAATATTCAGTGATACTACACAACAAAGCATCTCATGAGATATATATGTTGCAGGTAAAAATTAAATTCAGGTAAAAGTTGTTATCTTGATCTAACACCAAATTCTTGTTACTTCTTTAAAAGGAAATGTTTAGAGGTTAAAGGGGAGAAATTAATAATCATATCTTAGAAGTTCAAGGGTTAAGAGTAAAGAATCTGCAAAATGTTAGCTCAGCAAAACTTCTGGCAAGATTTCCAAACCCATACTTCATTATCATGCCTAATATTCTTGGATAAAAGAAAGCAGAGGCGAAAAAACAGATTACTTATGGGACTTCGGCTTTGTTTTTGATTGGTAGGGGGTTATATAGAAATCTTTCCAAAATTTTTCCCTTAAATGTTATTTTGAACTTACCATGTCACACTCTTCAGGGTCCAAGACAATGGCTTTTAATCCATAACGGGAAGCATCTTTTGATAAGCGGCCAGCAAACTCTTCTGCTGTTCCAGTTTGGGAACCATAGAAGATTGCTAAGGATTTACCCTTGACATCAAAGCAGAATTAAAGACATTTACACAGCAGAAAACTAACATTTACAGCCTATATAGCATAGCACTAGCATGGTATATTTACTCACAGATTTTTTCATTTTTCCAATAAAACTTGTATCATCTTGGGAAATCTTGGTAGTCGGCCTATACGAACAGGAAAAAGCTGTTGACATTTGCAATATTTCAAGACGGACACGACGCTATTATTAGATCTTACGTGCGATTGCAGTTAGGCTTGTCAGCAATTTGCGCCAGCCTACGACTACTGCTACTCCAAAATTCATATGATGCAGCAGAAACTTAAAGAAGTTCGCAATCCCAAAATGTCTTTAAAAATTCCCAGGGGTGTTCCAATAAAAATGACATTTGTCAACAACACAAATGCAAATTGCAACCGGCTTATGCTTCAGCAAACTGCACGCATTCCTTTCAGCCACAGGATGAAAGGTCCAAATAGATCTACATCTGAATATCACTGTACCTCAAACAAAACAAACACAAGCCAATCGGGAAAACTTACGCTAAGACCAACTTCTGTGTGAGAGCAGCAGTCTCGGTTTTCTTTTTACGTCCACAAAACCAATACAACAAAACACCGATGAATGAAGCTAACAAGACGATATCGACCGTTCCAACTAAAGGCTTTTCTGCTACAGCAGCTGTAGACATGACTGATCCCTAAAATTTCCCCTTATTTGACACTCTAGCCAATTTCAGCCTGCTTTTCCGGACACGAACCGTCTCTAATCTAAGTAACTTTGCTAGATCCTTACGTAAGTCGCAGAAAGTGTACCAGTGCTATGCATTATGGATAAAATCCACACACGCTAAGATACTGGAACCCAGTAGTCAAAGTATGGACCAAAACAGTGGATAGCGTGAAGGCGCGCTCTGATTGGCTACTCAAACACCAAATAT